CGGGTGAATGGAATGTAAAAATTAATCGCCCTTCGGAAGAGGAAATAAAGTACGATATATCCGTGCTAAAACATGAAAAGGCACCAGGACCGGACGGTTTGTATACAGCCCTCTTCAAAGAAGGAAGAGAATCCCTGACGATCCACCTGACAGCTTATTGGTGCTATATGGAACGAAGATAAGGAATTGCGGAATTGGACATGTCGACGATTATTCCTATCTTCAAAAAGGCTACGTAGAAGTTGTGTGAAAACCACCGTGGTATCAACCTGGTAACTGCGGCATCGAAGGTGCTCTCTGGCCTCATTCTTTGAAGGTTGATTGAACACAGGGAGTTACAGATCCGTGTAAAACAAACTGGGTCCCGTCTTGCAAGAGGATGCATCGGTCATATCTTCACCCTCCGACAGATTCTGGAACAGTGACACTGCTTCCAGCAACCAATCGATCTGAAAACTGCCTTTGACTCTATGGACCGTCAGGCACTATGGCAGTATCCATGGGGCAAAGGTGTCCCCCGTAAATTCTCCATACTCAATAAGGCATGACCTGGCAACGAAGTACGAAAACACTAACTAGTAAACTTAGTCGGGTGGGCAACTGCCGGTTCCCTGGATTGGGACTCCGGAACTCAAATCACTACTGGTTATTGGCATTGGCGGAAATGGCCCAATCGCGCAGTCAATGGCACTCCTCATCAAAGCTATCGCCTTCAATGCTTGTCTGGATGTCCCACAGTCTCCCGTTTGCCGGCGATCGAAACCGTTAATAGCTAATAAACTTGAAAAAAAATTGAAATTTAATCGAGCGGTGCAGCACACAAATTAGTGTTCATTTATGTAAAGCTTCAAATGTAGGAAGAGCAGCCACATTACTTGCAGAGTGATCAAGTATGCATAACAGTAAGCGTTGACTTGGATGAATTGCTATGAAACGCCATGCTCATACTAAATTTGGGGTATCCCAAAAGGACCAATATCGCATCCCTCTGTACTAAGATACGAGACCGGTTGCAGCTCATTCGCTTAGGCTTACTACTTTCACAAGGTCGCTTTTGAACCCTTTCTGGAGATTCTGTGGGAGAATATTAGTCAACCCATCCGGAATCTCGAATAAGTCTTTTCAATTTGATAGTCCCTTGAAGGAGTTACGTGGCTAATTAAATGCCCAATAATGAAATATTGGAAGTGAACTGTCTGCAAAATGAGCACACGAACCAGATGGAATATGTACAGTCTCAGATTGAATACAGACTTATGGCTTAGCTTGGCCCACACAATGTAATTTCTGGTGCCGAAATCACACTTACGGATCAGACAGTCAGACTAGAATGTGACCGTATGCGTATATTGTATCGATTATTATTTCTGAACACCTCGACGGTCCGCGAGGAAATATGTAATGAATTAAGGGCTTAGTCTGGTCATGTGCTTAGCCCACCACTGAACCGCGCAGTATCTAGGGCCACTTTACTCTTCAGATCCTTTAGCTCACATTGTATTAACTCAAAAATCAATAATAAAATCGATTCTCTTTTGTGACAGTCTGTAGGCGACTGATAATCTTAGGCTTTCTAAGAGTGACGGACAACCAATTCTTAGACATGAACCAGTCAGAAAGCTAGGTAATTAACTTGATATTAACTTCCCATTCTTATCCGTTCTCTGTTATTTTAGCGTAAACATCATAGTCGGCGGCATCTATCCTGCTACGGTCGCTTAGTCTCTCCACACCTAGTTTTCAGGTTCTGCAATGTCCTGCTCTATTACATCCAGAATATGATTCAGTGTAATGCAAAATCTATACTGAATAATGTACTTGACGTTTAGATAATGACGTTGCTTATTTCATATTATAGTACTGAAAGATCCCAGCTCCAGTCTAGTGTGAGTTTCATCTATTTGTGATTGATTATTTTACTCAGTGCGACACCTCGTACAAATGTATCATGACTAAAAGAAGAATTATTCGGGCGTGTTTACTGAGATTATCTTACTTGTAAAAGGTTTGCCTGGTGCTTGTTTGGCAGACTATTCGAGCGAACCACTCGCAATTTGGATATATTCTGTGCTGTACGGGCAACAGTTTCCTAGATTTCAGGCATAAAAAAATCAGTCAGCTTAGTCATATCATTTTACGGTAGGCCTGCTGACAGGAAAGCATCACTCCCGCAGTAAGCCCTATAATGAAAATTATGTTGAACATGGTGCGCCTAAACTTTTAGCTTTCTTCGAAGTCATCATCGTCGAAAGCATGACATCAGTATTCAAAACCGATGCTTCACTGTCGTATAACCATGATTTATTTGAAAGCTTTACTGTAAGGAAAGAATAAAGGTGAACGGGGAAGAGACATAGTGCTGGCTTACCACAATCATTCCAAGGTGCCTACACCTCCAAACAATCACCCAGGTAATCTGGATAGAAACTGACAACAAGAATGCCACTGACATCGGTTGGCAGCCATATCTTGTAGTGTCTCCAACCAGGCACAGTGAGGATCACGCAGTCCCCATCCTGGAAGGCGAGTAGCACCGACAGCACCCAAGCGTTTCGTGATCTCCTTCATACTCCTCCACCAAGTCAAGGGTTGGCCGCCTCTCTGTTTACGCCACTGAGTTGGGCATGGAAAACAGCACTCTCTTCGGCAAACGATGGTTCGGCATACGCAATACATGTCCCACCCAACGCAGCTCCTGGTGCTGGACACATTCTTCAATAGAATTAACGATAAGGCAAGCCGTGATGATAAATACTAAGAAAAGTAACTGTAAACTCACGTCGTTTCTATCTATCTCTCTGTGTGTTGACATACTTGTCCTAGGATTCGTGCTGAAACAGATACTAACTGTCCTTGCAACGAGGAACCTTTAATGTATAATCTGCTCCACTCATCTGAGAGCTCCAGATGGGATAAAAGCGTTGTACACTGACCATACCTTGCCTTCATAATTCCGTTGGTTGAATGTTTGCGCAAACAAATGCCACTTGTTTCTATCAGTGCACGTTTGTATTGCGTAAACGAGGTAGAATAAGAACTATGATAAATTTAGATGCGATACTTTGCTAAATCACCACTACGTGATTGTCAACTTCAGATTCCAACCCTTGCGTCCATTATCTTTTTAAGAAAACGCGAATTACTTTTATTCAGTTTTAGAGTACTGTCTGTTTCCCTGTTACACATTACACTTGGATAAAGGCCAACCTTACGGTGTAAAAATGGGTCAAAAACTTCTGAAAAACCGACAGGCAATTTGGAGTTGGTGCACCGTGATTAAAGCGGCCAAAGTTATACAGTTCATTGTTCTAAGGACTAGACTTTGACATTGAAAGAAATAGCATGGATCACAGCCAGATATGGATAAAGACCAGAGGAGCCTGGACCTTACCGGTTTGCGTACCTCGGTGACCCATTGAAATATACTGGGGAGGTATCCGCGCGACACTTATAGAGTATCTCATACCAGATTGATCCATGGGTATAGGTCTGACGAACACAATCTTCTGGCCCTCCTTCTGAAAAACCGACAGGCAATTTGGAGTTGGTGCACCGTGATTAAAGCGGCCAAAGTCATACAGTTCATTGTTCTAAGGACTAGACTTTGACATTGAAAGAAATAGCATGGATCACAGCCAGATCTGGGTAAAGACCAGAGGAACCTGGACCTTACCGTGGTGTGACGGTTTGCGTACCTCGGTGACCCAGTGAAATATATTGGGGAGGTGTCCGCGCGACACTTACAGAGTATCTCATACCAGATTGATTCATGGGTATAGGTCTGACGAACACAATCTTCTGGCCCTCCAGGTTGGGGTTGGAACAAGCGTGTCGACGTGTTCCGTAGAAATATTGACGTACTTGCATTTCCAGCCCAACACCCCTGCCTTGTGGTTAGGATTTTGAGCCAAAGGCATTGGTTGGGGACCCTAATCATCCTCCTGTCTATGTGTTGGCACCTTGGCAGCATCCCAGCCCTCGTGCAACCATGAACTCCACATATAAGAATAAACTCATGCCACATCGGCCGTCGCGTGGTGCCACCACTTGGTCTCCTTACTCGCTGCACACAGTAGGGCGTGTAAACGAAAGCAGACTGCTGCTGACGCCTCCCTTATTTCTCTTTCCCATTTTCTTCCACCTCTTCTCACCCCATCAGTGACTCTATCCTTGTGGGCCCTGCACATAGGACTGATGACTCCGTTCGTTCTGCAACGGCTTTGCGAGCAATATCTGCGTGTCATCCGGCGCATCTCGAAATCAATCTTCAAGGCTCGACGCCCAGTTCATCTGGCAACCTTCAATGTCTGCGTTCCGAAGCAAGTAGGTCAACGAGC